AATCTACCTAAACCCATCACCTGACCTCAACAACCACCAAGTGTTGCCCAGTACCACCAGATCTACTTCCTCAGCCACCTGCACTCTTTCTGTATGACTTTGAAATAAATCATTCATAAATATTTCACTATTTCTAAAAGATAGGGACTCTTCTTTTTTTTCTTTTCAACACTACCTTTATTTTCTAACATGACCAGACAGATTTATTTGAAATGACTACTTTGACAATAATGTGTATTCTACTTGATCTATTTTTTTTATTTAAATCATTTTATTGGGGACTCGTATAACTCTTATCGTAATCCATATATATACATCCACTGCATCAAGCACATTTGTACATTTGTTGCCATCATCATTCTCAAAACATTTGCTTTCCACTTGGACTCTTGGAATCAGCTCATTTTTCCCCTCCCTCACCGCTCCCCCCTCCTTCATGAACCCTTGATAATTTATAAATTATTATTATTTTATCATATCTTATACTGCCAGACATCTCCCTTCACCCACTTTACTATTGTCCATCCCCCAGGGAGGCGGTTATATGTAGAGCCTTGTAATCAGTTCCCCCTTTCTACCCCACCTTCCCTCCACCCTCCCGATATCGCCACTCTTACCACTGGTCCTGAGGGGTTCATCTGTCCTGGATTCTCTGTGTTTCCAGCTCTTATCTGTACCAGTACACATCCTCTGGTCTAGCCAGATTTGTAAGGTACAATTGGGATCATGATCGTGGAGGAAGGAAGCATTAAAGAACTAGAGGAAAGCCATATGTTTCACTGGTGCTACATTACATCCTGAATGGCTCATCTCCTCCTCCCCATGGCTCTTCTGTAAGGGGATGTCCAGTTGCCTACAGATGGGCTTTGGGTCCCCAATCTGCACTCCCCCGCATTCACAACGATATGACTTTTTTGTTCTTTGATGCCTGATACCTGATCCCATCGACACCTTGTGATCACACAGGCTGATGTGCTTCTTCCATGTGGGCTTTGTTGCTTCTGAGCCAAATGGCCGCTCGTTTACCTTAAGCTTTTAAGACCCCAGATGCTAGTCTTTTGATAGCTGGGCACTATCAGCTTTCTTCACCACATTTGCTTATGCACTTGCTTTGTCTTCAGCGATCCTGTCGGGCTTGGCTATTATTTCTGTGAGCATGGATTGTGGATCCAAGCAAAACAAAACCCTTATAACTTCATTCTTTTCTATTGGTTCAGTTGTGAGGATTTGGGTTTTTACATTGAGTTGCAAGCCATCCTGAAGACTTGCAATCCTTGGTCCTCATCAGCAAGTGCTTAAAATCCTGCTTACTTTCATGAAGCAAAGTTGTATTATTTACATATCACAGGTGTTAATGAGCCTTATACCAATCCTGGTGCCCCTCCTTTTTTTTTTTTATATACAATCCTGCTGCGCACCTTTCTTTATTTTAAACCATGCAGTATACCCTTGTTTTGTTCAAACGACTGCCTCTTAGTCCATGTACAGGTTTCATATGAGCAAAGTGAAGTTTTCTGAAATTCCCATTCTTCATAATGTTGTCTGTAGTTTGTAATATATAATTCACACAGTCAAATGCCTTTGCATAGTCAATAAAACACAAGTAACATCTTTCTTATATTCTCTTTCTCCCAAGAGTCATCTCATGTCAACAGTGTATCCCTTGCACTATGGCCTCCACTAGATCTGGCTTGAATTTCTGACAGTTCTCTCTCAGTGTATTGCTGCATGATAGTGATGATATTGTTCATTCTAGTGGGTCGCCTTTCTTTGGAATGGGCACAAGTACAGATCTCTTCCTGTTGCAGTTTCTCTCCTCTCACTGCCATCAAGTTGATGCTAACTCTTAGTGAACATATATAACAGGGTCGGACTTCCTCTGAGTTTCTGAGCCTCTTTACAGGAGTAGAAAACCCGATATTTCTTCCAGTGGGCCACTGATGGTTTTGATCTGCTAACCTTGAGTTAGCAACCCAATGCATAACCCACTATGCTACCAGGGTTCCTCCTACAACGCTGTTGCAATTAGACATCGTAAAACTCTTCCAGCCTCTACCTATGACCCAATCCCAAAACTTTTTCCACATTTGAGGTGTCTATTAAAGTAGCACCCCACTCTGTCAGTCCCAAAATCTTCTTTATCTACTGCTAGTAGATCAAAAAGTAGCCCTGGTAGCATAGTGGGTTATGAATTGGACTGGTATCCGTGAGGTCAGCAGTTTGAACCTACCAACCATTCTGTGGAATAAAGATGACATTTTCTGCTCCCATAGAGATTTGCTTCGTCAGAAACCTACAAGGGCGGTTCTACCTTACCTTATAGCATCTCCGTGAGTCAGAATTGCTTCTATAGCAATGAGTTGTTTTGTTTTCCTTTTTGGGTTATATAAAACACTCCAAGTAGATAGATTCAACAAACAAATTTGTTTTCTCACAGTATCGTTGGCAGAAATTCTCACTTGAGAGTGTCAGCTGTAGGGAGAGGTTTGGAAGGTTTTTCTCTCTCTGTCAGCTCTGAAGGAATGTCCTTGTCTCTTCAGCTTCTGCTTCCTGACTCCTTGGGGAACTCTTTGTGTCTTGGAATCTCTCATACACCATCTTCCTGCTTTAGTTTTAATCTCAAAATAGATTAACTCAAGATACACCCTATACTGTTTCTACCTTATAAACATCACAAAGACATCCCAAATGGGATTATAGCCACAGGCACAGAGGTTAGGGTACATAAGACAAATTTGGGGAGGACAGTTTAATTCATGACACTGGCATATTCTCTAGCGAAATGGTTTTTGTTACTTAAGAGCCTTCGTTTATGAAACCTTTTATATATGATTTAGTATTTATATGAAATGTTTATCAGAGAAAACTATAACTTGAAAATCTTAAATGTTTTAAATCAACAGCCAAAGTTGTTAATAGGTAACCACTTTAAATTTGACAATAGCTTAGTTTTTCAATAATTCTACTCAGTTATTCTCTTCATACTAATAAAGATATCAGAAATAAAGATGTAGTTGTGATCAATTAAAAATGATAGTGATATATGTGATAGGCTTCTGATTCCATTTTTTCTAAGATTGCCAGTCTCCTTAGCAATTTATTCTTTGTTTGTATGTATAGATGAGGACAGAACTTTATTTCCTGTCATCTCAGAAGAACCGCCCCAGCCTCTTTGGAATGCCACTGATTGTCCCGTGCACTGTGCATACTCGGAAGAAAGATCTCTATGATGCTGTTTGGATTCAGGTGTCTCGATTAGCCAGCCCACTCCCTCCTCAGGAAGCTAGTAACCATGCTCAGGATTGGTGAGTTCAAGGGTATCATTTTAGACCTTGTGTTGTCCAAAATTTTAGAATTGTAATACTGTGACTCTATGTCAAGTTAATTACTCTTTGAGTAGAAAACCCATTTGATTTGATCATTTGAGTAGGAGGGACTATACTGTCTCCATTAGTCACCCAGTCCATCTAGTCTAACAGTCTTTCTATTTAATTTCTTGCCTAAGTCTCTCCTGTTAATGTTTCAAGTAGTACCATTTGATGAAATGAGGGAGCCTGGAGAAGGAGCAGTTTATGAGTGGTTATGAGTTGAGCTGCAATCCACAAGGTCAGCTATTCGAAACTACCAACCTCTCCATGGGAGAAAGATGGGCTTTCTACTCCCATAAAGAGTTACAGTTTCGGAAAATCACGGACCAATTTACCTTGTCATGTAAGGTCACTGTGAGCCAGCCTCAACTCAGTGGTGGTGAGTTTGGTTTTGGAGATTGATTGTACAAGGCGGCTTTTAAAAGTTCATGGAAATATTTCTTCATCTTTTAATTCCATTTTACACAAATTTTGAGAAGGACATTCTTATACTTGAGAGTTGTCTGCTGGAGATGTAGTATTCTTGTCATCAATAAATAGTTGATGTTTAAAGCCATTAAACCGGATGATGTCTCTTAAGAAAATCAGAATTAGAGAAGATGCCCAAGATCTAATTCCTGTGGCGTTCTGACATTTAGAGGTTGAAAAGAGGAGGTGGAGGCAAAACAGGAGTAGGCAAAAAACTGAGTAGGAGCAGCCAGTGATGAAAAAGAATACTGGGAATGAGTATTATTCCAGAAAACTAAGGAAGAGGAGTATTCCCAGGAAGGAGTGATCAGCTGTTTCATCTACTATCCAGAGGATAATAAGACTGAGAGCTACTGGATTCTGTAAAATGGTAGTTTTCAGTGACTTTACAAAGCTGTTTTGTTAGAAGGGAGGGTATAAAGACATGGAGGGTAGAATAGTTAAAGAGAGATTGATCCTATATAGGTTTGGAAAAGGTAAGAGTTTATCTTAGATGCACATTGAAATATTTATGGATAAGTTTCTATGTCTCTGACTTCCTTAGTAATCTAGTGGGAGTCTGAAGCAAGATGGTGGTATGAACCCCTGCACAGCACCCACAAATAGATTTAAAATCAAAACACAAGCAAAAACTGTCAGAATCAATTCTGGCAGAACTCTGGTAACTAGATAAAGGTGGCATATAACAGCAGAAAAAGCTTTATTTCATTACTTATTGCCTGTGCCCTAACTACTCCTCAGCTCAGGGTGACTATCTTAAAATATCAGAAAACCCCACACTCAGTGAAGAAGCCAAGTCTCTCTTTCTAGACAAGAAATATCTAGGGTAGGCAGATTCTTAGGGACAATTTTTTTTTTTTTTTTAGCGGTTAGCAATAGCTAAGGGTTAAAGGGGGAAATGGAAGTTAAGGCTGTAGGGGTTCCACGTCTGGGGTGATGAAAACCTTTTAGAAATAAATAATGGTGTGGTGGCACAAACATGGTCAGTATAATTACCATCATAGAATTGTACATTTAAATATTGCTAAGATGCCAGGTTTATTTATATTTATATGTGTGTTTGCACGCACACACAAATATATATCGATAAGTAAAAAATCACTATAAAATCAAAGAAGTTTTTATTGAACTAAAATATGAAAATGCAAAGCTACTATTTTTCAACATACTCTCCACTTCCAAAGGTGATATTGAAGTCTGAAGGGGCACAGTCAGGGCTGTGGGTGGGGTAAGATTTTTTAACAGAATTCTCATAGACAACCCTAGCTACCCTCCAAGAATGAAAAGGTTTATTATTATGACGGGGGTGAGGGGTGGGGCGGGGGTGGGGGTGGTGGGGGGGGTGAATTCCTCAGTACAACTTTCCTGGCCTTTTTCTCATTGGTACAGTTTTAAATTTTCTTAAAACTTTCTCATAAGAAACCCCATGATTATCCTTTGTGAAAATCTTATCAATAGTGTCCATTTGATACCCTAAAAAGCAGTCATGAAACCTTTTGAGCTGACCTCACTGTTTTGAATTTAACTGGCCTGGCAGATCCCCTCAGAAGCAACTGTTTCGATAGGACTCTGTTTGGGGAAGATTCCCCTAAGAAGAGTAGACAAGTGCATTACTGAGACAGCTTGTCTGCAGCTGTCCACTGATTACAGGGATGTTAAGACACATTTTATTTGGAATAACCCAGTACATGGATGAACTAGGGTCCTAGTGCAAAACTTTGTTTCTTACTCCTGCATTTATCACAATTTAAAGAAAAAACAAGACTTCTAAAAAATAATTTTGATTAAAAGTACATTTTATTGGGGCTCTCACAACTCTTACAACAATCCAACAGTCTTAACAATTCATACATCAGTTATGTCAAACATGTTTGTGCATATGTTGCCATCATTATTTTTTAACATTTCCTTTCTCTTGAGCCCTTGGTATCAAAACATTTTTTTAAGCAAAGAATCTAGTGGGAAATGAGTAAGGATATAGATGAAATAAGTGGCCAAGAATTGATGAGTATTATAAGTGATGAGCACATAAGGCTTCATTATACATTTCTCTGCTTTGTTAATGTATATATCAGTAAATTTGAAATTTTTCATTATGTTTACAAATTTCTGGAATGAAGAATCTGTACAAAGGAGTAATTGAGGGACAAGAGAAAGAAGGAAAGTGAGCATTTAAGGTAGTGTTGGAGATTTCAGTTGATTCAGAGAATTAAAATAGTGATACTAGTAAGTGATATGAAAAGATAGGAGCAGGTGATTACAAAGCAGAATACTTAAAATTCAGATTTTGGAGGTAGTAAAGTTTGTATTGACAAACTAGAGTATGATTCTTGGAGAGAATGAATTAGATGGGATGGAAGAAATTACTGTTGAAAGTGAAGAGGCCAAGTTATAATTGAATGAACACATTGATGTTGAGGTAATGAAGAATAGTAAGAGACAACAGACTAATAGACCAAGGAGTGTTGGCCTCCATGACACAGGCTAGAAAAAGTAGATGGTGCTACCAGGCTACCACTACCACCTGCTCTGAAAGGGATCTCATTAGAAGATCCTGTAGAGAGAGGGAGATAACTGTGAGGGGAAGCTCACAATTCTAAAAGAGACCAGAGTTGACAGTCAGAGACAGGTGGAACTCCTGAGACTATGTCCCTTTGTCAGCCTTCATGTCAGGAACTAAACTCACCTCCATTGCTCAATTTTCAGCTGCACAATAGGTGTGTGATGGGAACAACTGCCTTAGGGAGAGACACACTTCTTAGAATAATCAACCATTTGAGATCAAAAGGGCATCATTTGCCTGAGGATAAAATTCAGGAGATGGAAACACATTAGTCACAGAAAATAATGAAGCAGATACTGAAAAGTCTTTAAGATCAAGAATAAGGAAAATATATACTTCTGAAGAGAAAGAACAATAATGAAAACCAGACTCACTGCCATCAAGTCAACTCCCTACAGGACAGAATAGAACTGCTTCTTGAATTTCCAAGACTAACTCTTTACAGGAGTAGAAAGTCTCATCTTTTCCCCCTGAAGGAATAGCAAGTACTTCATGCTACAAACAAGTCTATGGGTTTTAGAAAAGAAAGAAGTCAAAATCATCTTTACATGCCAAAGAAAGCTAGAAGGTGGCCCTTGTCACTTCCAGGATCTGGGATGTATGGAAGGATGAGGATACGTATCACTTAATAGATTGAAACATGCCGATGATTGTAAGGATGATAAAGAACCAGGCATTGTTTTCCTCCTGTTATATAGAGAGTTGCTTAGTCAGTACTCACTTGATGGCACCTAACAACAGCAACAACAACAAAGAGAAACTGTAAAGGAAGAAGGATCTTCAGGAAAGCTAGGCCTTAGTTACAGATCAAAAAGTCAAGAGACGTGTCTAGAAGAGAACATCCCGTGGGGATCCCACCAATTCATTTTGTCCCTTTTGTTTTTACAGTGAACCCTCGTGTATCGCGGTTAATCGGTTCTAGACCCTACCGTGATAAATGAAATTCCGCGAAGTAGGATTCCTTATTTGTAAATCAAATATTTTCGTAGT